CTTTCTCAGAATCATATTAAAGAATATTTATGTAATATCTGATATATCACGTATATTATTTTTGATTGGCTAAATTTCAATATGCAAAATTACATTACTATTTTTTATACAAAATTTAGATTTAGCATTGCATAAATAGCACATTATTTCCTATTTGCACTAATTCGAGGCAAGCGTTTAGCCGGTTTAGCCACATACCCGCCACACAATTGATCTGCATCACATGATTATTTCGAGTACGCACATGGGCGTTATTTCGAAATAAAGCGCCAACTTTCTAAACCTGACCTTTTCAAAATAACGCTCATAATAGAATGACAATCTGGATTCTTTCATTTCTATGGGTTTGATACGAAATCCTGAATGCCCAGCATCCCGAACGCCCGACATATTCAACATCCCGATATTCCTAAAAAAATGAATAAAAGTAAGCGCAAAGTATGTATATACAAATTTTAAGTGTAACGTCCGGATTTTAGGATGTCGGGATTTTGGGAATGTCGGGATGTTAAGATGTTGTATTTCGGCTATCGGGATTTTGGCTTACGGGATTTGGGGCAGATCCATTAACAAATGCAATATACGACTTGCCCTAATTAATAATTATTCGCACGTTATTTCGGGACGCGCATAGGCGCTATTTTTGAAGGGTATGATTTTTGAAATAACGCCCATGATCGGTTTTACGGTATACTCGATATCGATAGCCTCTACTCTGAATCTATAATCGAAATACTAATTAGTATGGATCTACCCCAAATCCCGAACGCCAAAATCCCCGACGCTTAAAATCCCGACGACTAAAATCCCGAAATACCAACCTCCCGAATGCCCAAAATCCCGAATGTCCAACATCCCGAATAGATAAAATCCCGCCAAAATCCCGACGCTTAAAATCTCGACGACTAAAACCTCGAAATGCCAACATCCCGAATAGATAAAATCCCGAACGCCTAAATATGTGAAATTTTAAGGTATTGGATATAATGGCATTTTGGTTTTGGGCATTCGGAATTGGGTGTCGGGATTTTGGGCGGCACCTACATATCTTGTCCGATACCCAACATCTCGACACCAAAATTTTGATATTTCGGAATTTTGGTGAGTCAGGATTTTGGACGTCGAGATGTTGGTATCGGGATTATGACTCCAGTATTTCAATTATGGGTAATGGTGTATATGTAAAATTTCGCAAGAAACATTTTTTATTAAAATTGAAATGATAATCTTAGAAAATTCGGCAGTGGCGCAATATTTGATGCGACTAAGCCGTTTACGGCAATCTAGCATCTGATCCATCATGTGATCTTTAGGACATAATTATTTTTTTTTGCTTCTCACTCAAAGTTTCTTTTGTCACGAAAACCGACTCTGATGACATCCCTACCTTTCCCGCCAGTCACTCCCGCAACGACATCCACGTCTGATACAACCGTAGCCACTTTAGTATTGAAAGATGGAACTAGCTATCAGGGTTTTTCTTTTGGTGCCGAAACACACTCTGTTGCCGGCGAATGCGTCTTCCAAACTGGTACGTTATAAAAAATCGTAGTTCATTATGATCTCGGGAAGCTGATAATTGATGAAGAAAAAATCGACGATTTGATGATGGGTAAAATATTCGAGATCGACGCAATTATTAATTGATTGGAGTTCACGCACTCAACAAGAACTATGTACACATAAACACAATAATATTTAAAATCACTCTACACACATAGGCATGGTAGGCTATCCAGAATCCTTGACCGATCCTTCTTATCACGGTCAAATTCTCGTTTTGACATTTCCCCTCATCGGAAATTATGGTGTTCCATCACGGGATGACATGGATCCTATCCTCAAAGATATCCCAAGATATTTTGAATCTTCAAATATTCACGTTGCTGCTCTTGTGGTCGGACAATACTCTTCCTACTATTCACATTATCTCGCCCATTCATCATTGGGAGACTGGCTGAAAACGAACGATATCCCAGCTATTTATGGGGTAGATACCAGAGCTCTCACGAAAAAAATTCGTATTAACGGTGTAATGTTGGGCAAAATTTTATTTCCAAAAGAAAGCGTGACTGGATCACCGTCATCATCTGTTAATAAGGTTCATGTTGACGGGTTTATGAAATTAACATCAATTTCTGCTGAATCTAGTCTAATGGATCACATTGAAGATGAACTAGTAATATCTTCAACTTGGATGGACAAATATCAAGATGCAGATTGGGTTGACCCAAACGAAAAAAATCTCGTTGCTGAAGGTAAAAAAAATTCGCTCGAAAAAATTGTGCCTTCTTAATCTTAAGAATAAATATAAGGAGACTAATTTGATTAAAACTTTTAGTTTCAATAAAGACACCTAAATTATATACACCAGATCCTAAGAAAGCTATCAAAGGTGCTAATAGTAAAACTTTGAAAATTTTGGCATTAGACGTTGGCATGGTAAGTCTAAATAATGTATCGCTATATTGATTATTTGATATGAAAATTCAATTATATTAAAATTTTATTTTTCTAAAGAAATATAATCAAATTCGTTGCTTTATAAATCGTGGCGTAGAACTCAAAATCGTGCCATGGAACTATGACTTTCTCAACGAAACTGATTATGATGGATTATTTATCAGGCATTTATGATCAAGATGAATTTTGATTATTTCTGGTTATTCAGTATCTTACATATACAAATTTCGATTATTTCTTATAAAGTAATGGTCCTGGTGATCCTACAATGGTTATAGAAACAATCGAGCGTTTAAGCATTGCAGTAAAGAGAGCACAAACTCCGATATTTGGGTAATGATTCAAAATATATATTGATTTATTTTTTCAAAGAATTATTCCTTAATATCCATCTTAGTATCTGTTTAGGACATCAACTTCTGGGACTGGCGATCGGGGCAAAAACAAAAAAAATGAAATTTGGCAATCGCGGCCAAAATATTCCATGCACAGACATGATCTCGGGCCGATGCTATATAACTTCTCAAAATCACGGTTATGCTGTAGACGCCGATACAATTCCCGATGATTTTCAAGAGCTTTTCGTAAATGCAAACGATAACTCCAACGAAGGGATTATTCACAAGACATTACCGATATTTTCGGTTCAATTTCATCCAGAATCTGCACCAGGACCACGAGATACCGAATATTTGTTTGATGTATTTATAAATGCAGTGAAAGAATCCAGTCTTTCAGGAAAATTGACACCGATTAAAATGCCTGGCGGTACAAAAGAAGAAAACTTAAGAAACAATTCTCGTGTAAATCCTAGAAAAATTTTACTGTTGGGTAGTGGTGGATTGAGTATAGGACAGGCTGGTGAATTTGATTATTCTGGCAGTCAGGTTCGGTTTGTTGCGTTAATTTTCCAAGTTCACATTAGGAAGGGAAAATTCAACTAAATTTATAAAATTATCTAAAATTAGGCTATCAAAGCCCTAAAAGGAGAGGGAATTTACACAATTCTTATAAACCCAAACATTGCCACGATTCAAACATCACATTCTCTTGCTGACAAAGTGTACTTCTTGCCGGTCACGCCTGAATTCGTTCGTAAAGTTATTAAACATGAAAAACCCGACGGTATTTATGTAACATTCGGTGGGCAAACAGCTTTGAACGTGGGAATTAAGCTTAAGGATGAATTTGAGAGTTTGGGTGTAAAAGTGTTGGGTACACCCATTGAGACAATTATCACGACAGAAGATCGTGAATTGTTTGCACAAAAAATGCAAGAAATTAATGAAAGATGCGCGGAATCTGCTTCGGCTGTTAATTTGCAAGAGGCTCTTGAAGCTGCTGAAAAAATATCTTATCCTGTAATTTGTCGTGCTGCTTATGCGCTTGGTGGGCTTGGTTCGGGATTCGCAGAAAATGCGCAGCAATTAACCGAACTATGTAATAAAGCTTTCGCAACTAGTCCCCAGGTATTAATAGAACGGTCAATGAAAGGATGGAAAGAAATTGAGTATGAGGTTGTCCGTGATTGTCATGATAATTGCATTACTGTCTGCAATATGGAGGTAATGTTAAATTTTATTATTCTCGATTGGATAAAGTTTAAATTCAAAAAAAATTTGTAAATTTTTTAGAATTTCGATCCCCTCGGCATTCATACCGGTGATTCAATTGTTGTCGCACCCTCACAAACTCTTTCCGACGAAGATTATAATATGTTGCGTACAACAGCTGTTAACGTGATTAGACATCTTGGTGTTGTTGGTGAATGTAATATCCAATACGCTCTAAATCCAATATCAAAGGAATATTGTATTATTGAAGTGAATGCTCGTCTTTCTCGCTCGTCAGCACTTGCGTCAAAAGCTACTGGGTATCCTTTAGCCTTTGTTGCAGCAAAACTTGGTCTCGGGATTCCATTAAATGAGATCAAAAACACGGTTACTAAACTCACCTGTGCATGCTTTGAACCAAGTTTGGACTACGTAATAGTGAAAATTCCTCGATGGGATTTGAAAAAATTTTCCCGTGTTAATAAAGCATTAAGTTCTTCCATGAAATCAGTTGGTGAAGTAATGAGCATTGGTCGCACTTTTGAGGAAACCATTCAAAAGGCTATTCGTGCTATCGATTATGAGTTCTTGGGTTTTGGCCAAGTAATTTATTTTTATTATTGACGGTATAACTCCTTCCTTGATTATTCTAATTATTGATTATTTACATATTAAAAGAATGAACTCGTTGATGATATTGAAGAAGAATTAGTTACTCCATCAGATCTAAGGCTATTCGCCATTGCAAATGCAATGCATAAAGGATATACTGTTGATCGAATTAATGACCTTACAAAAATAGACAAGTGGTTCTTACATAAGCTCAAAAATATTGTTGATTTTGAATGTACTTTGAAAAAGTATCATCCAAACAATTTCCCAAAAAGTTTAATCTTACGAGCGAAACAACTTGGATTCTCCGATCGCCAAATTGCAAAATCTATCAGCAGTAATGAGTTAGCTGTTCGAAGAACGCGACAAGAGTTTGGTATTATTCCATTTGTAAAACAGATAGATACCGGTAAGAAAATTAAATTGCAACACATTCATGGAAAACTAACAAATGTTACGACACAACTAACTAATAACAATTCTAAATCCATTTAGTTGCCGCGGAATTTCCTGCATACACTAATTATCTTTATGTGACATACAATGCAATCGAACATGATGTTACTTTTGAGGACAAAGGAGTAATGGTACTTGGGTCAGGGGTCTATCGAATTGGTAGCTCCGTAGAGTTTGATTGGTGTGCCGTACGAGCTATTTCCACCTTGCGTGAGAAAGGCTTCAAAACAATAATGGTCAATTACAATCCAGAAACTGTCAGTACTGATTATGATGAAGCTGATCGTTTATATTTTGAAAATATCACATTGGAACGCGTGCTTGATATTTATGAACTCGAGCATTCGAGTGGAGTCATTATTTCAGTAGGGGGCCAAACTCCAAATAATATTGCCTTACCGCTTTACAGACTGAATGTAAATATTCTGGGAACTTCACCTGAAATGATTGACACTGCCGAAAATCGATACAAGTTTTCGCGTATGCTGGATCAAATTGGAGTCGACCAGCCCATGTGGAAAGAATTAACAAGCTATGAAGAAGCACTTGCTTTTTGCGATCGAGTAGGATACCCCGTGTTGGTACGACCATCATATGTATTGTCGGGTGCGGCAATGAATGTGGTCTACTCTTCGAACGATCTTTCGAATTACCTGAGTCAGGCAACAGCTGTTTCACGTGATCATCCTGTCGTAATATCTAAATATATCGAAGAAGCCAAAGAAATTGAGATGGATGCCGTAGCTTTAGAGGGTCAATTAGTTATGCATGTTATTTCAGAACACGTGGAAAATGCTGGTGTTCATTCTGGTGATGCTACTCTCGTTCTTCCACCACAAGATTTAGATCCAGAAACAGTCCGAAAGATTGAACTTGCAACTCAACAAATAGCGAATGCACTTAATGTCACTGGTCCATTCAATATTCAATTTATCGCAAAGAATAATGATATTAAAGTGATCGAGTGTAATGTTCGAGCATCACGATCATTTCCATTTGTATCAAAAGTTTTTGGCGTGGATTTGATTGAGATGGCGACTTTGGCAATGTTGGGTGTCTCTTTTGACTCATATCCACCTCTGAATTTACCAAATAATTATGTCGCTGTTAAAGTTCCTCAGTTCAGCTTTAGTCGATTATCTGGTGCTGATCCAGTGTTGGGTGTGGAAATGGCATCCACTGGCGAGGTTGCATGTTTTGGCCATGACAAATATGAAGCATATATAAAAGCGTTAATTTCAACAGGTCTCACTATGCCAAAGAAAAATATTCTGTTATCGATTGGATCATTTAAAGAAAAACAAGAAATGTTACCATCTGTATTAAAATTACATCAAATGGGCTTTCATTTATTTGCCACTTCAGGCACTGCAGATTTCATTCAAGAACACGGAATCCCTGTGAAATATTTGGAAGCATTGGAGGAAGATCACCAAAACCTAAGTTCTGAATATTCTCTTCAGCAACATTTGGCAAATAATTTAATCGATTTATATATTAATTTGCCGTCCAAAAATCGATATAGACGACCAGCCAGTTACATGAGCAAAGGATATCGGACTCGCAGAATGGCGGTTGACTATGCTATTCCATTAGTCACCAATGTGAAATGTGCTAAACTTTTTGTTGAGGCTCTGGCACGCAAAAATGAATTTGAGATCAAAGATGTAGATTATAAAACAAGTTATAAAACATTTACATTACCTGGGCTATTTAATCTCTCAGCATTTTTACCCCATATCGCTGAACCAGGTTATGATGATTTTGCAGAAGTTACTAAAGCTTCATTGGCAGCTGGGTTTACCACTATTAATATTTTGCCAATAGGTTTAACAGATTCAATTAAAGATTCCCGGACTATTGGAATTGCTCATTCTAATAGCAGAAATAATGGACATTGTGACTATTCATTATCCGTGGCTGTTGCTGAAAATAATACAGAAAAATTGAAGAGTGTTATACCAGATACCGTGGCATTATTTATCCCTTTCACCAACAGTCTATACGACACTAAAATACCAAAAATGGCCGCAATTGTATCTCATTTGGACGAATGGTCACCTCTTTTGCCTATTGTGACCGATGCCAAAGGAACAGATTTAGCTTCTGTTTTATTGGTAGCCAGTCTTCATAATCGTTCAATTCATGTTACTAATGTAACCACGAAGGATGATATCGAATTAATTGATCTAAGTAAAACGAAAGAATTAAAGATCACCTGTGATGTAGCTGTCTATTCGTTGTTCTTGAATACTAATGATGTGGACAATTGCGATGGGATATTACCTACACCAACTGATCAAGCAGCTCTATGGGAACACTTGGATATCATTGACTGTTTTACTGTTGGATATTTGCCATACCATGTTGCTAAACAGATAAATCCTAAAGTTAATACTCCGGACATTGGAATCAAAGAAACACTTCCATTATTGTTAAATGCGGTTAATGAAGGAAAATTAACCATAAAAGATATAAAAGAAAGACTATATACAAATCCAAAGAAAATACTCGATATACCCGAACAATTAGACACCTACGTAGAAGTGGAAGTAAATCGAAAGACCAAGGTCACGCCTAAAGAATCAAAGAATTCGCCATTTGCTGGGAAGCAACTTTTTGGAACTGTTAGTCGCGTTGTTTTGCGCGGTGAAACTGTATATTTAGATGGAAGTTTATTTTCTAATGGATCTAATGGTAGAAATATTTCGAATATGACTCATGTCATTGCTGTTAAAGAATCAACACAAGTGCAACAACAATTCCATGAGACACAACCAACTCCCGTGTACAATACTATTTCATTAACAACCGAACTTAAATCACCGACTATTATAACAAAGGATTTAATAATGCCAAAACTATTCCCTGAATTACCACTTGAAACGCATACGACGATGCCACCGTAAGTAATCCTTATTCAAAAATTTCATTATTTGTCTAATAAAAGATTCTTACTATAAACAAATATACAGGAATCTTGCTCCTTTTATTATTGGTTCATCATATTTCCGCCAAAGCATTTTATCTGTCAAAGAATTTTCTCGTAATGACCTTCATCATCTATTTGGTACAGCACACGAGATGCGAACAATAGTCGAAAGATATGGCTCTATTAATTTATTACAAGGACGAGTTATGTTCACAGTTTTCTATGAATCATCCACACGAACTTCTGCATCCTTTGAAGCTGCAATGAATAGATTGGGTGGACGTGTAGTTAGCATTAAAGCAGATACTTCGTCAGTAGCAAAAGGTGAAACATTAGCAGATACGGTGAGAACTTTAGGGTCTTATGGCGATGTAATTATTTTACGTCATCCTGAAACTGGAAGTGCAAAGACTGCGGCTAAATTTTCCCCTGTACCAATAATAAATGCTGGCGATGGAACAGGAGAACATCCCACCCAAGTAATTGATTATTTTGTATTTTTCAAATTGCTGAAATCAGATATTAATTATTCAAATAAATTGAAAAATAGGCATTTTTAGACGTCTACACTATTCGTGAAGAACTTGGGACAGTGAATGGATTATGTGTAACGTTAGTTGGAGATTTGAAGAATGGGCGTACTGTTCATAGTCTAGTAAAAATTCTTGCTCAATATCACGTAACTCTCAATTACGTGAGCCCGACTTCATTAAAAATGCCTGAGGAAGTGAAAACAGAAGTGCGTAAAGCGGGCGGAACTCCACAAAATGAATACACCGATCTTAATGGTGTGATTGCCCAAACTGATGTTCTTTACGTTACTCGGATTCAACGTGAACGATTTGCCGATCTAGCAGAATATGAACGTGTCAAAAATTCATATGTTGTGAATAACGCGTTGCTTAGTCGCGCAAAATCCCATATGATTGTGATGCATCCTTTACCGCGTGTTAGTGAAATTGATCCAGAAGTAGATTTTGATCAACGTGCTGCGTATTTCCGACAAATGCGATATGGCATGTTTGTGAGGATGGCACTCTTGGCTTTGGTAAGTTAATATTGTTTATAGAAAAATCATCCATCATCAGATTATATTAATATGTTTTCATCATATATATAGGTTTTGGGAAAGTCATAAAATTTTTAGAAAACAATTAGTAAATTATTTTCTAGATTTTCAAGTATTGATATATTAATTAATATTATTTATTAATTAATTAGAAAAAATAATACTAGATTTTGGTAGTGATACATTAAAGATTATTATTAGAAAAATCCTTTTCCCATGCTTGGCTTCACCTTTACCGATTGTGACGATTATAAAATTTTATTATAGTAACATGAGAGTTATATTCCATGTTCAACCCCTCCCTTAATTATCATCCTCATCTTTTTCAGCCATTTGACACATCTGTTTTGAAAAACATTTAACGATTCAATTATATTGTAGAAAAAGCTTTTTCAATAACCAATTTACCTTTCGGTACTTTTGATATGGGAAGGCAGGAGCGATTTCTATGCCTTCACGTGGTGTTATCCATTCAAGAAACATCCATATCAAGTAATCAATTGCCACAAGTATGCAGAATATTTTTCCAGCCCAAACACCGCAACCGTAATATCTAAGTAGTGAATATTAATATGAGAAGAGCCTAAATAATAACCAAGAGACCGTTCGCAAACCTTCTTAGTCTCTCCATAAGGGGAGGTGTCTTCATTTGCCATATTTTGTCATAAACCTTTTGATGTTTGAAAAAATGTTAATTAATATATGGGTAAAAGTAAAAAATAATTTTTTACCTTTTCTGTTCGGCAAGCTACATTTACCCAGCTATACATTTCCTTGATTTCATCATGAAATTTGATTGGCACAACTTTTTTTAGTCTAATCATTTCAATTGCTTTTGACACAGCATTCACGAGATCTATACGCAAAGGAAGGAAAATTGTTATATACCTTTTGAAATCAGCATGACGAAAAAAAAACAATATTAACGTGGCAAAATTTACCATCTTCCTCTGGTTTTGCAAATATGATCATATGTCTGGGTAACACTTCTGGAACACCACCTACTTTGGTGCTCACGACCAATAAACTATTATTTTTTATGAAAGAAATGTAAATATAATATTAATTAGAGAATGTAACGGCAAAATAAAAAATTACCCGCAACAGGCAGCTTCAACCATTCCTATACAAAATGCCTCGGTCAAACTTGTATTTAGAAATATCTGACCTTTAGTCAACACCTTAAACAGTAGCCAAAAAATCATAAATTCACAAATTGATGATTTTTGAATTATCAATTTACAAGTGGTATCGTACATTTCTAACTTCATGATGCATCACTGGGCCGAGTAATTCTACTCGATCGTGCAATAAATATTTCTCACGCATTTGCTCCAAGTCAATTCGCTTAGGACCATCACCCCCTTGATATGAACAATTTAAGTGAAAAAAATAAATGAATCTTCAGATAAATAGAATGGTTATTAGTATTTAAATCACAATGATGTCTTACCAATAATGAAGCGCACCTTTGCATGAATTTGACAAATACGTGGAATGGCCGCTACTAACAAATCCATTCCTTTACGATATACCAATCGACTTGCCACAACAATGGTAACTATTATTAAGGTATAATAAAAGTTCTCACTCAAACAGAATATAGGAAGTTATGAGAAGGATTTATTGAATATCTTACTTGAATTTTGATCTTGTGCCCCTGGATCAGGTTTGAATTGAGAAGCTACGACAGCGTTAGGAATAACAGAGACTATTCGCGGATTTAATGCTGCTCTCAACACTGTATTTTCTTTGCTAATTCATAATTTGATTATATGCAGATGAAGCTACGAGATTTACCAAAAATACAACATCAATATTTACCTTGTATGACTAACGCATATAACATGATCGATATCACTCAGTGTAAATTTTAGCATTTTATTCATCAAAATACTACTCGCATCCGCAAACCCAAATAAACTATGATCAGTGAAACATGCCTTCATCCCCATGGTACGCGCATGAAAAATAGCTTCGTGACACAAAGAAGAAAACGCTTGATGACCATGTACAATATCAATTTTTTCGCGTAATACAATGTTCCTAAAAATTGGAAAGAATCCATAGATTGTGGGAAGAGTGGCTTCCGAATAGATTACCATATGAGGAACATAGTAGACTTTGAGACCATTTGTGAGATATCGAATTCCTGTGCGATTACCATATGAATGTGTGATAATTATGACCTTTCCAAAGATTTATTCGCATAAATTATTACGACCAATCACGAGAACTAAATGCCATGCATTATAAACCAATATCATTTATATCAAGCTAGAATTAACTTACTTTATGACCACGTTGGATTAGTCGCTGTGATAATTGATATAAATGGCTCTCAACACCACCCATATTCGGGTAAAAAAAATCGGATACCATGCTATCATCATACTTTTACAATAAGCAAGATTATTCAAAAATGGATAAACACAATAACCACTATTTGCTTGATCGGATATTAATGACTTACGCAATGTTGTATGGCATTTTATGTTCTAATGAATATTGTCAAATATTTTTCCTTCTTTTTTACTGGTATAGCTGATACAAAAACTCAAAAAGAATACTCGAAAATCGAAAATATTAAGTCATAACTCTAAACCTCCATCACTATTAATTTTATAATTAGTCGATCTACGATATAGATCGCTTTGTATTGCATTATAAATATATAATCGGACCAAGAGCTTTAAAATTTATAGCAATTCCTTAACGGCAAAACAATGACTTAGACCACGTTTTTTATTAATTTACCCTCATTGTACTTTGTTAAACATACAAGGGTGAGTTATTAATATATTTCTCATTTGATTTGTATTAGATTCTCTACAATTATTTTTATTAATAAACTTATTATTGAATTTATTTTTGTTTTATTATATATCTTGATTTGATTTTATTTAGAATTATTAAAGGTTTAATCTAGCTAACTTATATTGAATATATAACTTAAATTATTTAATTATTGGAAATCTTATTTTATAGACTCTTACTTTAATTTATTTTTTATTTTACTTTGAATATATTAAAAGCAGTAATATAAAAATTAATAAATCTAACTTTAAGTAATAAGATAATTCTGCCTATTTTATGTACTTTAGTCGGTTCATAATATATATATATTATGAACCGACTTAACTTAGATTATGAACCGTCGTACGACTGAAACGATTTTTATAACACCGACGAATACATAGTCTACCACTATGAACCGTCGTACGACTGAAATGATTTTTGCGCAATGGTGGCGCATTCTATAGTGATATTCATCATCACCTCATGTGTGGCATATTGTATTCTGGTTTGGTGATCGAGACCGATTTCCGTCATTGGGTCGTATGTTAACTATTGGATAGTCTGCGGATGGGTTGTCAGTTTTCGTGTTGATCATAGTCTGCGGATGGGTTGGCTTATCGCGAGTTTGACGGGTCGATTGCATTTTGCGCGTTATTTATGGTGGCAAATAGCCAGAGTATATGCTATCGGGTATATTGCAAACACGTTATCCGGTATATTGCATACACGTTATCGGGTATATTTTATATATGCTATCTCATAGTCAGACTTTCATATGATTGGCTAATGTAAATTAATTGTCCGGGTAACTTATTTATACACTTTAAAATACTTTTCAAGAATGTAACATTTCACTAACAAAAAATAAAAATTTTTATTGTGTCTAGCTTTGAAAGAATACTAACATTCACTGTGCAAAAGAATCAAAAAAGAATCAAAAACCCTGAAAACTTTACTTAGAAGATAAATATGCCATCAACTATTACTATTACTGGACCATGCGCAATTATTATATGTCAGAGACGGTCAACCAATTGGAGAAGGGTAACTGAGTTTGTTATTGTCAAAGGTCAAGCTAACAATACGTTACCAAATTATATTCATTTAGATAATATAATATGTTTGAACTGTTATAATAGAATTATAACAAGAAGTTCAGTTGAATTTCAACAACATGCTTAAACTTATACAGAGCAACTTGAAATTAATGAAACTGAAATTGGTGAAACTGAAAGTACTCATCAGGAAATTTTTTGGGAAGATATTCATCGAGAATCATTACCATATCTGTAAAAATCGATAAATATCTCTCTGAGATATCGATATTAATCGATGACTCCGATGATCTTTGATAAACATCCATATCGATAATAATCGATTATTGTTAGTACATTATTTATCGATATATAATAATATATCGATCATTATCGCAATATATTATTTATCGATAACAAACG